CCCTTGGCAGACAGGGCCTCTGAGACCACCTAACCCAATGGCCCAGTGGTCTTCCTCCCCAACCACCTGCCAAAACAAAATTTGTTTGAGCAGTGTGAATCTTTTCCCAAATGAAATTTAGCCCACAACCCCGATATGTAAAACCAACAAAAACCGTGTCTTATAAGCAGCGTAGCACCCCACCACCACCAATTAATTCTTCCCCAAAATCAAAATTTCCTCTGTTTTATGCAGACACAACTTTAAGCCCTACTTACAATCAGACCACCTCTTTTCAGCCTCTCCAACACACATTCCGTGCAACCACTGTTATGCCCCAATTTATAATATTTACTTATTTTAATTTATTTTTATTATTTTATTTTATTTTATTTTTGAGACAGAGTCTCATTCTGTTGCTTGGGCTAGAGTGCTGTGGCGTCAGCCTAGCTCACAGCAACCTCAAACTCCTAGGCTCAAGCAATCCTTCTGCCTCAGCCTCCCAAGTAGCTGGGACTACAGGCATGCGCCACCATGCCCGGCTCATTTTATATATATATATATATATATATATATATATGTTTTAGTTTGCCAATTAATTTCTTTCTATTTTTAGTAGAGATGGGTTCTTGCTCTTGCTCAGGCTGGTTTCAAACTCCTGACCTTGAGCGATCCTCCTGCCTCAGCCTCCCAGAGTGCTAGGATTACAGGCGTGAGACACCGTGCCCTGCCTAGTTTTATTTAATGTTTTTTTTTAGAGACAGGGTCTCACTGTGTTAACCAGGCGGGTCTTGAACTCCTGGCCTCAAGAGATCCTTCCACCTCGGCCTCCCAAAGTGCTGGGATTACAGGTGTGAGTCACTGTACACAGCTATTTACTTATTTTACAGTAAACCAATGAGAAAAAAAAAAAAAGGAGCTGTTCTTAGTGACATAAAATAATGCAATGGGTGTCAGTTACACTCACGGCTATGAGGCTGAGCTTCTAACTGGCTTTGATTTTTCACGTTCAGAGAATCCTGAGCATGCAATTCAGTAGTTGCGAATGGCAGTTCTTTTTTCAAACTGCTCACCTTGCGTCCCTGGAATACTCTTCAGTGAGCCAGAAGCCCAAGTTATGATGAGGCTGCGCCCATGTTAAAATTAGGTAGAGAGCACATTTGAGAGTGTCTGTTATTTTTGCTACAGTTTTCAAAATAGTTTAAAATCTATGTTTGAAAAATGAAGTTAGAATCAGACGCTTACAGAGCCCCTGAAACATCTCTGCCAAATACAGTGTTGTCACGTTGGCACAGGAGGAGCAGACTGGGGTGGGGGAGGGAGGGGGAGGGGCTGGGGGTCCCCGGGTGGGTGGTTGTCTGGCTCACAGCCAGCACATCCCAGGACTCCATCACTGATATCCCTGACCCAGCGCTCCCAGCGGACCCCCCAGCCACCGCCCCTCCCTCCTCCACTTGCTCCCCCAACCCACCATGCATCGGGTGGGAACGCTGGCCCTACAGCTGTCCTGACAAGCCTGGTGGCTGAGCTCCACAGTTGTCTGCCAGGCGGGTGGGGCAGGAGCCCCCGATGTCTCCTGGCCCCCATATGCCGGGCTGTTGGCAGGGAGGGGCTCAGGAAGCAAAGCAGGCTCCAAGCTTGATTAATTGCCTTCGTTGGCATAGACGCTGCTTCCCTCCCTCCTGGACTGAGACAGCTCCCGTCTCCCGGTAGGACAGGGACAGCCTGGGCCAGGAGATAAGCCCCTCACCCTCCCTCCTCAGTGTCCTTTTCCCAGCTGCCAGCCTCCTGGGCCCTGACCACACGCAGGGATCACCATGTCTCTCACAGCAGCCAGCAGCGATTGTGTGGGGGAGGCAGATGGCCCCACGGGCGAGGGGGCAGGGAGCGTGTCCCATGTGCGCTGGGCGCAGGGAGGACCCGGGCTCCCCCACTTGCCAGTTGTGTCATCCTGGATTTGTGGCTTACGACCCCACCCCTAGCCTCAGTTTCCTCATTTTAGAGACATGGCAAACTCTACCTGCCGGTTGACAGGAAAAATACAACGTGGACAAAACGGGAAAATTGTGGAGCTCGGGGAGCGGTGGCTCCTGCTGTCACGGTTACATTGCTTTTGTTTCATCCTGTTTTTAACCATTCGCTATCAGAGCCCGTTGGGAAGGGCGGTCTCTGGGTTGCAGAGGTTCCTGATGTCCCTCAACAACTTGTCCAGGGCGACTCTGGACTGCTGACTGTCGCCAGTCTGGGGCGGCTGGGCCCAGCCCAGAGCACAGCTTTGTGAACAAGCTGGGGCAGAACCGCCCAGGGCTGATGGGGAGGGAAGGGGCGCTGCCTCCCCCTTCCCCCTGCATGCTTGGTGCTTTGTGACACAACCTCCAACTGGCTTCCAAAGCGACAGAAACGGATTGGAGCCTTTTATCACAGTGCATCCTTGGCACGACTTCCATGCCAGCCCACGTTTCCCAAATGGCTCTCTGCCAGGCTGGCATCCCAGCTGCTGGGCTGTGCCAAGATCTGTGTACAAATCCCTGGGCTTGGGGGGGGCGGTCCATGCAGTCTTCCCCCGGCCCCTACTCCAGCTCACATGCTCACATACACGCTCACACCACACACATGCTTACACACACATTCTGGGGATCTACTTATGATCTTCTGCTCAGGTATAAATTCGATTGTGCTGCATCCATTTCCGTTCTGATCCATGGGTACCAGCGCCTGTTGTGTGCAGGGAAGCCTGGGGCAGGTCCCTTAGCAGCGTCCGGTCTAGTCGGGCATTTAAAAGCTGATAGTCCCAGCACAGAATGACACAAGAGGCCTTCGAGAGCCAGACAAAGCCGTGTGGCGTGGCAGGACCCAGGGGGAAGCACATCAAATTGGGGGACCGCACAAGGCTTCCTGGAAGAGGGGACATTTGGGATGATCCCAAAGGATGGGCAGGATTTGGATGGAGAGAGGTGGGGGTGGAGGGGAGAGGTGGTTCCAGGCAGAGGGAACAGCCTAAGCGAGAACAGAGACTGGAAGGATGGGGTGTGTTTCGAGCCCAGGGAACAGTTTCGGGGGGCTGTGTCCCTGCTCTTCGGGAAAGGAGCTGTCTTTGCTGGTCTCCGCACTCAGAAGCCGGCTCTGAGCGTCACCGACAGCCTCCTGTATGTCCCTGGGGACAGCAACGGCCCGAGGGGCTGCCCACCTCTCTCGCCTGCACTTTCTGGGCTTTCTGCCTCATTGTTCTTGAGGCCCAGGATGAGGGGGGAGGGGATTCCATTTACCAGCCAGCAGCGCCCCGAAGCTTCCCTGGCATGGGGGTGCTCTGTGGGCTTCCCCAGGCTATCACTGGCCCTGCAGGACGAAAGGCAGGGCCGGGTCTTGGATGGAGACAGCACCGGACACGGAGCCTTTGAAGCCGCAGGGGAGAGCAGAGAGTGACGTCTGGCTCCCGTCCGGCTAAGTGCCAGCCTGGACAGTGGCCCCGATCTGCCGCTGGCCCTGAAACAGGGTTGAGGAGTCCCCCTGAGCCAAACAATGCCTGACTGACAGGCCTTTAAAGCGGGCCTCTCCTCCCGCTGGGCTGCCTTAGGAATTCGGCGGACTGTGCAGAAGCTCACAGGCAGGGCTGCAGGGCTGCAGGGCTGCAGTCTTAGGAATGGATGCCTGTGCGGCAGGGAGACAGGGTTGTCACAACGCATCCGTCCCTATGTCCCACACCCCTCACCCAGGCCTTACCCAGGATCTTCAGGCGGACCCCGTGATCAGGGACGAGATAGAAAACGAGGGACCCCTCGTTGTCTCAGCCCGTGGCCCAGGGAGAGCCGAGCAGGGGCGGTGTGGCTGGGGCCCAGGCTCCCAGGGGCCGGGGTGCAGGCAGAGCAGGGTAAAGCCAAGTGGCCGCAGACCCCACGAGGCAGGGGGAGGTGTTTCCTCTCTCCTGTCCCCGGTTGGGCATCCTCCCTGCCCTCCGGCTCTCACTGTGGTCGCTAAGGGGAGCCTGGGCTGGGCTGGGGCGGCCAGTGCAGGAGACTGAGCCTGGCAGAGGGAAAGATGCCGGAAATCAGGGCGTTTCTCAGGCCCGGGCAATTATATGGCCACAAATCACAAAGAAACTGTGGTGTAAGCACCTTGTGAGTCTGATGGAATACTCGGAGGTCGGAGGATGCTATAAAAATTCAATCAGCTCAGCTAACCCGGTGTCAGCGTGTCTGGTCCCGGCGAGGCAGGTGCAGTGGGGGGGGGGGGCTGCGGGTGGGGGAGGGCATCTCCAGAGTCCGACAGTCACCCCCAGTGTCCCCAGCGCTGCGTCCTCTGGCTGAATGGAAGACACCGGGTCCCCCAGGAGGCTCCACTGGGGGAGGACAGTGGGAGGAGAAGGCAAGGGGCAAGGATGGAGCCGCACAGGAATGACACAGGCCACTTAACAGGTGTGACGTCCCCTTCCTGAGCCTTAATTCCACTTCAGAAAAATAGGGAACTAACAGGAGCCATTTCAGAGGGTTGTTGACAGGGTTGAGTGGCATCAGCTCACACAGAGCACGTGACACAATCCCTGCCTACAGCGTGTGCTCAGTCGCTGTGATTCCATGTCTGTGGATTTAGGCTTCGAGTCAAGCCTCAGGGACTAGAGGCGTATTGCTGAGCTCTGAGGGACTCAGCTCTATTCCGGGGGACTTGGCAAAGGGCAGGGTTTTGTGCAGAGAAAGGAGTTCTAGACTAATCTGGAACCCGGATGCTGCTGAAACGGTTTAAGCCAGGGGTTCTCAACCTCAGCACTGTTGTCTTTTGGGACGGGTGACTGCTGCCCCGTGCATCGTAGGGTGTTTAGTGGCATCCCAGCCCTCCACCTGCTAGATGCCAGGGGCATGCCCAGGTTTGACAACTAAAAAATGTCCCCAGGCATTGCCAAGTGTCCCCAGGAAGGGGGCAGTGGGGGAGGGGCAAGATTGGGCTATAATCGCATGAGTGAGGGGGCTGGGAGTGGGTGGCAGAGACTGCGAGGGGTGCTGCCCCTCACAGAGCTGCTTCTCTTGCAGGGAGGAGCAGATGGCCAGGCCTGCCGTCCACGCTGCCCACATGCTGTTCCTCGTCCTCCTCGTGCTTCTGGGGCTGAGCCTGGCAGGCTCCCTTGCGCCCGGAACCCCTGCTCGGAACCTCCCTGAGAATCACATTGATCTCCCAGGCCCAGCACTGTGGACGCCTCAGGCCAGCCACCACCGCCGGCGGGGCCTGGGCAAGAAGGAGCGGGGCCCAGGCATGCCCAGCCGGGCCCAGGATGGGGCTGTGGTCACCGCCACCAGGCAGGACTCCAGGATGCCGGGGGCTGAGGGGCTGCCGCCTGGGCACACTCCTGCAGGCCTGCTGCGGGACAAGGACCTGCTCCTGGGGCTGGCGTTGCCCTACCCTGAGAGGGAGAATCAGCCTCCAGGGTGGGAGAGGGCCAAGAAACGTGGCCGGGAGCACAAGAGACGCAGGGACAGGCTGAAACTGCACCGAGGTAGCTGGAGATCTGCGAGGACAGGAGGGGGCTGGAGGGAAGGGTCAGTGGGGTGAGGCCCCAAAGAGCGCAGGCAGTGGGCACCCCGAGGAGAGGAGGGGCCCCACTAAAGCCAGAGGGGTTTGGCAAGGGGAGGGGGAAGGAGAGGCCGGAGGCACATGGGAGAAGAGGGATGTGTAGCAATGGGAGCTCAGTCTTATCAACAGATCGTCCTCCTAGTCAGCCTGAGAGCCACCCAGCCACCCTCTGTCCCAGCCCCTCCCTTCCCAGCCCGTGCAGTCTCCGAACAAACTCCTCCGGCAGCTCCACCCCAGGCCCCCTCCCCAGCCTCACCTGGCCCTGAGCCCAGGCAGGCAACTCAGCTTCTGAGTCTCTTCATGTGACAAGACTGCCCCTAGGGGCACACTTCTGCCACAAACACCATGGTGGTGTTGAGGAAGTGTTTCTTTGGCAGGAGAGTGACAGAGCCTCAGCCCTGCCTCCCCTGGAAACAGCTGGGGCTCACCCCCCCTGGACCCCCCCAGACCTGCTGAGGCCTCCCAAGTGGGCCGAACCCAGCTGGGTCCCCCAGCTTCCACTTTCTACCTTCTGCCGCTGGAGGGCATCAGTGTTAGCTCGAGGAGGGGATGCATCTCTGGGGACGATCTAGAGGGCACGCCTGGGACATGGACTCATCCCCGCTCCGCTCCAGTGGAGCAGGGGGCCCCGCTAGGAGGGTTGGTATGATGGTCAGGAGGTGGGGGACGGAGGAGACCTGCAGGTTAGGCCCTGCCCCGCTGACAACCAGCTGTGAAACCTCAGGCCAACTGGGCCTCAGTTTCCTTGTCTGCAAAATGAACGGATGCATTCACTGGTCCCAGAGTCCCCTTTCCACTCCTGGGGTGACCCCAACTGACTCACTGACTCCCTCTCACACTTAACCTACTGTGTGTTTTGGAAGGCAGCATCAGTGGTTTAAACGGTCAGATGGACCTGGGTTCGGATCCAGGCTCTGCTACTCATGAGCTGGGTGTCCTTGGACAAGTCACCTAACCTCTCTGTGCTTCAGTGTCCTCCCCTGTCGATGAGGCTGAAGGAGCTCCCACTTCCTTGAGCTCCTGCAATGGTTAGATGAAACAATGCTCGCAAAGTGGCTCCTCTGGGACCCAGCACACAGCAGGTGCTCAATAAATGGGGTGATGACTAATTATCACCATGTAGGAAGCACTCACTTGTGTGTGATAAGCTATGGCTCCCACCCCCCAGCTTTGTCAAAGGCCTTTTCCCCCTGCATTGCCTCTTGACCTCATTGCATTGCTCGCTACTCAAACTCCACCTCCTCCAGGAAGCCTCCCATGGTTAATCCTAACAGTACCCATTTGTTACACTTACATCCCTGGCTGCACCCAGCCAACCCAGACTTGGACTTCCTTGGAATGCTTCTTTTTTTTTTTTTTTTGAGATAGAGTTTCACTCTGTTGCCTGGGCTAGAGTGCCCTGGTGTCAGCCTAGCTCACAGCATCCTCAATCTCCTGGGCTCAAGCAATCCTGCTGCCTCAGCCTCCCAAGTAGCTGGGACTACAGGCATGCGCCACCATGCCTGGCTCATTTTTTCTATATATTTTAGTTGGCCAGTTACTTTCTTTCTATTTTAGTAGAGACGGGGTCTTGCTCTTGCTCAGGCTGGTTTTGAACTCCTGACCTTGTGCAATCTGCCCGCCTCAGCCTCCCAGAGTGCTAGGATTACAGGCGTGAACCACCGCGACAGCTGGAATGCTTCTTTATAGGGAGAATCCCTGGGCCATCTCTCCAGCAACAATACGAGCCCACCTAAGACATTCCCCCACCCCCTGCTGAATTGCCCGGTTCCATCTCCCAGGAGGGCAGGCAGCAGGGATGTTAACTGAACCATGGGCTTGTCTCCTGGTCCGTGCTGCCCCCTGGTTCGCAGCAGAAAATGTGGGTTCTACTGTAGACCGACACAAGGTGGCAGGCGGGTAAGTCCCCTGTGCTTGCCGCCCCATGTCTCAGGCCGAGCCCTGGTCCGAGGTCCCAGCTCCCTGATGAAGAAGGCGGAGGTCTCCGAAGCCCAGGCGCTGGAGGCCGCAGCGGAGGAGTCCTCTACCAGCCTGGCCCCCACCATGCTCTTTCTCACCACCTTGGAGGCGGCACCTGCCACGGAAGAGTCCCTGATCCTGCCTGTCACCTCCCTGAGGCCCCAGGTAAGGGGTCCCAAAACAGCCTTGGAGCTGGAAGGGTCTTGACACCATGTCATGCAAAACCTCTTAGTTCACTCAGGGAGACTGAGGCACAGGGGCAGGAGGCCACCGGGCCTGCATTGGACCCAGATCTCTGGACGCCTGCCCAGCCCAGCTCCAGCCTGAGAAAGGGCTGCCACTGTCCAGGAGCAGGTGGTCCTGGGGGCTCACTCTGGGGACAGTCAAGGAAGCAGGTGGCAGCTCAGCAGCTGGTCTCTGCATGGAAAGCAGAGGCACTTGAGGAAGAACTCTAAATGTACAGAAAAGTATAGAGTAAGATAATGGTAATTTTATTTCATTTTTTATTTTTTTGAGACAGAGCCTTGCTTTGTTGCCCAGGCTAGAGTGAGTGCCGTGGCATCAGCCTAGCTCACAGCAACCTCAAACTCCTTGGCTCAAGCGATCCTCCTGCCTCAGCCTCCCGAGTAGCTGGGACTACAGGCATGCATCACCATGCCCAGATAATTTTTTCTATATATATTTTTTGGTCGATTAATTTCTTTCTATTATAGTAGAGACAGGGTCTCGCTCTTGCTCAGGCTGGTCTCGAACTCCTGACCTCGAGCAATCCGCCCGCCTCAGCCTTCCAGAGTGCTAGGATTACAGGCGTGAGCCACCGCGCCTAGCCAATAATGGTAATTTTAAAAACAATGTCCCAGAATGAGCAAGCATTAGTTAACCCCTGGATTCATCTGCTTCTGATCTTTAAAAAAGCCACATGGAGCAAGAGCAAGCCACGGTGGCAAGAGCACTACCCACTGGTGATTCTAGAAGAAGGGTATGTAGGAGTTCACTACACCATTCTTGCACCTCTTCTGTGGCTTTGAAATTTTTAAAAATAAAATCATTTAAGAGGATCAACAGTATATATGTTATATATTATGTATAAGAAATAATACCTAAAAAAAAAAAATAAAACTTCCTTTAGCAGTAGATTTTTCCTATCCTTCTTTTGGGTCTTGAACCCCCTTGAGTTTCCGATAACAGCTGGGGACTGTCCCCCAAGATTACATGGCTGTCCACTTCATCTAGGCCCCGTGAAGCCCTGGAAGGTGCGGTTCCTGCCCATGTCCTACCTTGCCCGGGCCCCGTGGGCAGATCCCGCCATGGGCTCTGGCCTCAGTGCTCCCGGGGCCTGGCTGGGGCTGTTCGTGGGACTGAGCCCTGGCCATAGCCTCAGCAGTGCACAGAGAGCTGGCAACTTCTGCAGGGAGAGGAAGGGACAGGAAAGAGAGTGTGGGGTGGCTACTGCCGACTCCCTCCTCATGGGCTTGGAAACCTTGAGTGAGCAAGATTCAGCGGTTCCTCGGAGGCCCTGGCGGGTCACGCATCGGCTGTCTTTACACTGGCTGCCTTCAGGCGCCGTGCCACGTGGGTGGTGGCTGCGTCGTGAGGAAACCGCCCTAGCGGCCCCTGGAGCAGGAGCCCCAGACACTCCTCTCAATATCCTTAGGCCGGGATCCCAGGTGGCCCAGGACGAGGTGGCCTCTGACGGGCCACGCCCTTGCCCTGTGGCCTTGGGACCCCACCTTCCTGCGTCCATCGATTGGAGTCTCCAGGTCCCCCAGCCCACCCCATCCACCCTCTTCTGCAGGCACAGCCCAGGCCCGACGGGGAGGTGATGCCCACGCTGGACATGGCCTTGTTCGACTGGACCGATTATGAAGACTTGAAACCCGACGTCTGGCCTTCTGCAAAGAAGAAAGGTATGCCCACCTGCCCCAGTGTCCCCACCCCTGCGCTCCCCTCCCTCCCCCACTGTCCGTTGGGGAGGGGGCCCCAGTGAGCCCTGCCGATCTGCAGACGTCCAAAGGCAGGGGGACCATCAAGTCTGAGCCAGCACTGGCCCTCAAAGTGGACAATGCTACCGAGGGCTCATTGTGCGGCAGAGCTTCCCACAGATCAACTCACTTTAAAAGCCCGTTAGGTCTGAGCTACTGTTGATCCCATTTTAGAGAACAGAAAACAAGGGCAGAGAGCAAGAGGTATGGGGCCTGATCCCGCCCGCAGTGTGGGGGTGGCCACATGGGCACCCTGACCCTGAGGCCTCGTGCTGAATCTCCCTGCTCTGCTGAGCCCTGGCTTCTGACAACAGATCTTCTTGTCCCCAGAGAAATACCGGGGTAAACTCTCCAGCGATGGTAACGAGACGTCACCGGCCGAAGGGGAGCCATGCGACCATCACCAAGACTGCCTGCCAGGTACCCACCAGCACCACATTGAAGGCACCAGGCCGGGAGCCGGGAGGTAGCCCGGGTGGGGGCAGGGGTGGGGGTCCCAGGCACATGAGCAGGTCCTGAGGGTCCGTGACCCCTTACTGATGATCAGTAATAGCAATAGAAGCTACCACTTTCCTGGGAGTTGCTGTCATGCATTAATTCATTTAGTACATTACTCACAACAAGCCAGAGAGAGAGACACTGTCATCCTCCCTTTTCAGGCAAGGCAACTGAGCCCCAGAGAGGCTAAGTGTCTTGCCCAAGGTCACACAGCTAGGAAGTGGCTCACCCCTGAGTTAGCCCAGGTCCAAAGCCTCTCACCATGGCCCATGCTGCCCTCAGGGTGATCTTTTCTTGCTCTCTTCCTCCCAACACCTGGCAGGGCTTAAATCTGTCCTTGTCCCATCACGACACTGCCCGGCTTTCAGGGGTGATTTTGATGACATCCGCACTGTCAAGACAGTCTGAAAGCAAGCAGCTTGATGTTTGGGCTAATGCCCTAAACTGCTGGCCCGTGTTGGGCTCACCAGACCCTCCGAGAAGCAGACACCAAGGGGAGCTAGAAGTGGAAGAGAGGTTTATTTTGGGGGAGGGTAGCACCTACTAAAGATAAAAGGAGGAGGAAGCAGGACTATTCAGAGAAAGCTCCAGATTGTGATGGGAAGTCCCAGCCAGAGCTCTGGGGTGGGCAGGAACGGGAGGCCCTGGAACCCCAGTGCTAGTCATTGGCTGGGGCTGCTGGGAAACTGGGTGTCACAGGCCCAGGTGGCCCCTGCAGGTGCGAACAGCTGGAGGCTGTCAGCTAACTGCCATCTGAATAGCAAGCGCTTTCCAAAGAGAGATCCTAGCAGCACAGTGGCCAGAATATTCTACAAAACAGCAACCAAACCAGCAATCTGCATCGTAAAAGCCGGACCACCAGCTCCCTGGCAGGCTGGTTCCTTTCCAAACCATTGTTTTCGCCCTGAGCACAGAGAAAAGGCTCAATCTGGGCCAACTGGATGGACAGTGGCTCTGAGAGCTGGCCCCGTGGTGGGCGAGGCCTTGGGCTTGGCTGGGACCATCCTGCAGCTGCCTGGGGCTTCGGTCTCCCCATCTGTCAAAAGAGGACGTTGGTCTCAGTGACCCCAAGGCCCCTCCCAGCTCTGAGCTGGCCCCAGACCTGGCAGTCCCCAGCTGTTCCTCCCGCTCTCCCTGGGAGGTGACCCCACACCACCTTCGCTCTATCCACGATCAATCAGTTGCCCATCTGGGGCGGCTGGGGTCTCCGCCGCCCACCCCTGGGGGCCTCGGCTGGGACAGGCGTGGGCGGTTCTGGCGGCTCTGGCTGGGAACCTCGCCCGCCAGATGGCCCCTCTTGCCGGGCACAGCCTGCCACCACGATGATGGATCTCCTGTCCGGTGGGACGCAGGGCGGGCTCCGGGGAGGGCCCGCTCAGCTCGGCTGACCGCGTGTGCTTGCCATGTCGGCAGGGACCTGCTGTGACCTGCGGGAGCATCTCTGCACGCCCCACAACCGCGGCCTCAACAACAAGTGCTTTGACGACTGCATGTGTGTGGAGGGTGAGTCCGGACTCCTTGTGGGGGCTCCCCGTGCTCCAGGAACCCCCACGGAGCTCTCCCTTTCTCCAAGCTGGTTCTGCCATGAGGCGGGACGAGATTTCCCAGTGGGTGGGAGAGTCCCCGGGGAGCTGAGGACAGGAGCGAGAACAGCTTTGCACGGTGCCTTCCCAATCTGTGAGCTCATTTAGTGCCGATTCCTGGCATAGCTTCTCAGATTTGCTTTTCTCACCTCTTGAGAAAATACAAGCTGGAGTGATGCTCTCCCACGATCTGGAGGAGGGAAGAAGGGAGGAGACAGGAGTGTATCTCTTTAAATAAGATCCAACCTTAAAAGCATGCCGCTTTCACTCTGGAATTCTACCCCAGGGGAGGCATTCCAATGCGATATCAGCTCAGCGCAGGGAAGGGTGCACCTGCCGGCAGCCTCTTTAACCCCTTCTGGCTCCCGCCTCCGCAGTGTGCCAGGCTCCGTGCCACGCACTTTGTCTCCTGGGATCCTCGTGACCACCCCCGGAAGGGAGCTATTGTGATCCCCACTTTACAAATAAGCAAACTGAGGCACAGAAGGCTTAAAATGACTTGCCAAAACTTACCCAGCTAGAAAAGTGGGGGGATATTTTCAATTTTGTACTCTGAAAAATTTCAAATACATGCTAAAGTCGTCGGAATGGGGTAACGCACCCCCACTTTCCAGCACTCAGCTTCAATGATGACCCACTCGTGGCCAGTCCATGTTGTCGCTCTGCCACCCGCTTCCCTCCCTCCAATAAGATTTGGAAGCAACTCCTAAGAGTTTACAGATATTTCATCTGTGAATATTTTAGCATATAAAATAGTACTAAAAGATAAGTACTCCTTTAAAAACCAAAATGCCAAAACTGAACAATAATTACTCAGTACATGCAATATCCCATCAGCATTCCCATCTCCTGAGTGGGAGAATTTGGTCCCAGCCCCTCTGTTAACCTGAGATACATGCCCTATTTTACCCATATTATCCTCAAAACTCACCTGCTGTGAAAGCAATATACCTCTTTAGTTCTGATCATTCCTTCATCTAGTCGGTTAAGAAATATTTATCAAGTGCCTACTATGTGTCAGGTGTCATCCCGGACACGGGAGATCCAGTGGGGAGGAACTGGCAAGTTCTGCACCCAGGGATTATGTTCTAGTCAGATGAGCAGACAAAAAGCAAATAAATAGATACGATGTCTTTAGAAAGGAATACGGCTCTAACGCAAATACCAAGATAGTGAGTCTTGGAGTTGCTTCAGAAGCGTGGGCAGGACTGGGCAGCAGGGCCAGCTACCTCAAGATGGGAGGGCAAGGACCTCGGCAGGAACAAGCCAGGGGAAGATGGTACAAGGTGAGTGGGGAGAAGCTTCTGGAAGGATCACACAGGACCTTGTGGGCCTTGTTTGGATTTTGTTCTGTTTGTAATTGGATGTCATCGGCAGGTTTTAAGCAGAGGAGTGACATGGTCTGGGCTGTAAGTTTAAAGGCTCCCTCTGGCTGCAGGACTTCAGGGGGCCAGGAGTGGGGACAGGGAGGACCCCCTGGGTAGTGAGCGAGGACGGAGGCAGGTGGGGTAGGGGATGCTAGGAAGCCACCTTCTGCAAGACGCAGTGACATGTGTGCAGAGTTAGGGTCCCATTTCACAGAGGAGGAGACTAAGGCACAGGGCAGGCAGGAGGGCACTCCAGCCCAGCCAGGGCGAGGGAGACATAGGTGGCTCAGTGCATGGTCCCTCTGCCCAGGAGTCCTTCCTACTCCCTTGGACTCAGGTGGGAGGGGACGTACGCTGCTTTCCAGGCACCTAAAAGGTGTGTCTGCATCCAAAGCCTGTCTGTTCATCCCCTCTTTCTCGCTCTGGTTGGACCCACTAACATTCTTGCTTCTTTCCTGGAGACTCAAGATCTAAAAAAAAAAAACAAATGGAAAGTGGAGATCACAGTTTGGTCAGCCTGTTAAAATTGGTCCAAGAGGGGATTGTCACCCAGACACCGCACCACAGGGATCTGGGGAATGCTAGGACCCCTTACGGGGACCAGGAGTCTTGAGGACTCCTGAGAAATGCCAAAATGTTGGACACACAGCCCAGGGCTGAAGTCCAGCAGTCAAGGCCAGCCAGGGTTCTGGAGGGTTCCCGAAGGGTTTCTGCAGCCAGCAAACACGCCTGCTCAAGAATCCCCTCTCCCCTCCCAAGTGTCACTGGTGTGGCCACAGGTGTGAAAGCCCAGTGGCCCAGGTGTAAATTCTAGGTCCCTAGGCACTAACTTCCCAGCCAGTCCTTTCCTCTCTTGACGATGACAAGAGCGGCTCTGAAAGTGGAGATGTTCTCCTTCCCTGGGGTCGCTCCTACCGTGAAACGTAAGGGTTTCTCAGGCCACACCCTGGCATCTCTTTCCCCTGCCATCGGGAACATGTGACCTTCTGTGGCCTGAAACGGAAAGTACGCCTCCCCACATGTCTCAGGGGATGACTGTGGTATGATAGAGAAAGCCACAGCCATGAGCGCTCCCACTGGTGGGCCAGGAGGCCCAGCCCCACTTTAATTAGGGTGGCCAGGGAGGGTCTCTTTGAGACCCAAAGGCTGCGAAGGAGCCAGCTGTGCCAAGAGCTCGGGGAGGGGTTTTCTGGCTGAGAGAACTGTACGTGCAAAGGTCCTGAGGCAGCAAATGGCTAGGTATGTGAGGAAGAGCAAGAAGGCTGGGTGTGGCTGGGGTTAGAGAGCAAGGAGGGGACTGGGAAATGAAGACATCTGACAAGTACTAGGGCCCAGGTCCCAAAGGGCCTCGTAAGCCAAAGTAGGAAGTATATCGATATGAAATATGTGTGTGTGATATAATTTCAACAGATTTAGTGGGTACAAGTGTTTTTTGTCGCGTGGATGAATTGTATAACGCTGAAGCAGGGCTTTAGTGTACTGGTAAAGCAGGAAGTTTAGATTTCATTTTAGGTTCAAAGGGAGCCATGGGGCTGGGCGGGGTGGCTCACGCCTATAATCCTAGCACTCTGGGAGGCCGAGGCGGGTGGATCGTTTGCACTCAGGAGTTTGAGACCAGCCTGAGCAAGAGCGAGACCCGGTCTCTACCAAAACTAGAAAGAAGTTAATTGGACAGCTAAAAAAAATAAAAAATAAATAAAAATTTTTAAAAAATGTTAATAAACTTTCCTCTTGCCAATTTTTTCTATGGGAGACTATTTATAGAGCAGTTTTAGGTTGACAGCAAAGTTGCACAGAATGTACGGAATTCTCATGTACCCTCCTTGGCCCCTGCATGCAGTTCCCCCTCACTAACGCCTGGCATTGGCGCGGCGCACTGTTGCGACGGACGATCCGATGCCGGTACTTTGTTACTGCGAACTAAAGGCCGCAGTTTACGTTGGGTTCCCTCTTTGTGCTGCGCACCCCCCGGGTTTTGGCAGATGCCTGCCGTATCCACCGTGACCGTGTCACACGGAATGTTTTCACTGCCCTGCATTTTCTCTGTGCTCCATCTGTTCATACACCCCCACCCTGCCTCCCCCACCTCCCCCACCCCTCCCCCACCTGTCTCTTTGAAGCTGCTCCAGGCCGCTGCGGAGCCGGGTAGTCAGTCGGGCAGCATGAAACAGGGTGGGAGAAGCCACGACTGGCCCCAGAGGACGCGGGGAAGGAAGGGGGGTCTGGCCTGTCGCGTCCCTGACCCCTTGCCTCCTCCCTTGGCTCAGGGCTGCGCTGCTACGCCAAGTTCCACCGGAACCGCAGGGTCACACGGAGGAAGGGGCGCTGCGTGGAGCCCGAGACGGCCAACGGCGACCAGGGATCCTTCATCAACGTGTAGCGGCCGGCGGCCGGCGCCTCCCCTCCGCCTGGGGACTGCGCCCCGCGGGCTTGGGGAAGCCCGGGCCCATTTGTTTATGACTTAGCGGTGGGTGATCAAATGGGGACCAGACGGCCGAGGCTGCAGGCTCAGGCCAGGACACTCAGCCCCAGGAGGGGAGCTGCCGGGCGAGCCCGCCGCCCCCTGCCCGGGAGCCGGACAGCAGCGCACCTGCGCCCCGCGCCCGACCCGCGGCTGCGCCTCCCGCGTGGCCCCACTCTGCGCGATGGCAGCGCCGAGAGTGCCCTCTCCTGTCCGACAGCAGCACTGCAACAGCTTCAAGTTCAAAGCCAAGAGGTTTTTTTTGAGGGTGCAAAAGAAACGTAAACTCCCTGAGAGAAGGGAACCAAGCCAAGGGCAGGAGAGGACTCTGGAACACGTCCTACGGTCCAGGCACTGCGCTAAGCGCGTGGAACACCTCGCCTCACTGAATTTTCCCAACCTCGTCAAGGAGCATTATCACTACTTAACAGGTGAGGACACTGAGGCACAGTGGAGCTATGTGACCCGCCCGGCATCCCAGATGAATGCCACTCGAACCTTAACACGTGTGAGAGTCACCAGGGATCTGGTTAAAATGCGGATTCTGATTCAGTGCATTCTGCGTTTCTAACCCGCTCCCAGGGCCGCCCACGCTGCTGGGACCCCACGGAGAGGGCCTGGGGAGGAAGTAGATGGCAGAGCCCAGATCTGCACCTGGGCCAAGGGCACAGGGCTCCTGGGGCCACTTCCTGCTTCCCCACAACTGAGAATTCCAGGCTGCCCCAGGCTTTCAGTGGGGAAGCCACACTCCTTGCTAGTTCCTCACACTGTGGCTGGAATAACTCGCCTGTTCTCTGCCTTCCCTGTTCTCTGCCTTCCCTGTATCGTCTTGGAAAAGAAAGCAAAATGCACCGTAAGCACCTGCTTGCTTGTAAGCAATGAGTTGGGCAGATTGGTTCCTGCCCTCTGGTAGCAGATATTTTGAGACATGAAGTGTTTGGGGAAAACAACAATATTGTCCCTTAGGTCCCTATGGTCCTGCTCGCCCAGTCCTGGGACACACACCTTCAAGTTGCCCTGAGAGCTTCTACCCCAGGGGTACTGATGCAAAGATGGACTCTAAAAATATATACACATTGCCCATGTTTACCCACTTTGCATACCGCTTAGTGGTTCCCAGGTCCCCAGAAACCATCCCTAGACCCCAGCCCACACTTCTGTAACAGAGCCCACAGGGAAGTTGGGGCAACCCTGAGATTGAGGTGCTATCTGAAACTAGCCGCCCCCAACAGGCCAGACCTATGATGCCCACCCAGAACATCTGTCCCAGCAGAGCTGCTTCCGGGGACCACCTCGAGAGAGCCATTTAAATCCCCCCACCTGGCATCTTACTCCTGGTCAACCCTCTGGTCCAGGGCAGACCAGGTTGCAGATGATAAAAGTCTTCCCCATCCAAATTCCCCACTGGCCTGGTTCATGCCCATAGGATGCCAGGGCTGTTTACTGCTCTGGCAAAATCTATTGGGGTCAGGGTCAGGCACCAAGGAAAGTGGTTAGGATCTGGAAGAAACCCAATATGCTTGTTCTCTCCCTATTCTAGTTTGATGGGCATGGGAGTCTTGCTGGGGAGAGGGGAGGGGAGGAGAACTGAAAGAGATCAAAGCCGGCTAGCTGGAGAGCGGATCTGCTGGCTCTTTTGTACTTGAACCAGACAAACTGCATGCTGTGTGTGCCTCATGCGGGGTGGCTGATTCGGGACTGTGCTGGCGCTGTGGGGATAGAACCCTAAGGGGGCAGCTTTGGGCAGAACCCCGAGCATTGCTATGCCTGGGGCCAGTGGTTAGGATGGCCCCGGGACAACAGCAGTGGAAAACACAGAAGATCTGCAGGAAGATGAAAGGCCCACAGAACCATCCCTGCCTACCAGGGAAGTCACATGGTTGGAAATTCAAGGTCATCTCTCAGCTCTTCTTACCTCCGTTTTGCATTTGCAAAGGGGCGTGGATGGGTGGGAGCCTCTTAACTCCAGAGTTTGGAATCCCAAAGCCCCTCAGGTGTTTAGTCACCCTCTCTGCCAGGAAGTTCTTTCTTAGGTCTGTCTTAAACTTCTGCTGCTGGTACAGAAGCCAATTTCCTGTAATCCAGGGTTCGGCAAACTTTTACCGTGAAGGACCAAATAAATATTTTAGGCTTTGCAGGCCACCCGATCTCTGTGACGACTTCTCAGCTCTGTTGCAGCTCAAAGCAGCCACAGACAGTGTGCAGATGAATCGGCACGGCAGGGTTCTAACAAAAATATGTATGGACACAGATTTCAATTTCATATAATTTTCACATATCACAAAATATTATTCTTCTTTTGATTTTTCAAAACCATTTTAAAATGTAAAAAACACTCTTAGCTCGCTGACTGTAGAAAAACAGGCAGTGGGTCAGATTTGGCCCAAGGGCCATAGTTTGCCAACCCCGGCCCACGCCTGCTAGTTATCAGCCTTGGCTGCACATTGGACTAATCTGGGGAACTTTCACAGGCTGGGGGCCCACCGCTAAGCTGCATTGCTGTCTGAGCTTCATAGTTTTTCAGAGCTCCCAGATGACTGCCTATTGCAGCCTGGCTGAGGACATCTGCTGTCTCTCCCCTGCCCCATCCCCACCCCCCCACCCTCCCTGCACTGTCTGGCACAGCACAGCTGGTCAGAAATCGGCCTATTCCACCTCTCACCACCTTAGTGACCTTAGGAAAGTCACTTAAGGTCTCTGTGCCTTGATTTTTTCATCTGCAAAATGGTGGCAATAAATAACTCTTCCTTCACAGGGGTGTCGTGAGGAGCTAATGACTAATTCTTATAAGATGTTCAGAGCAGTGCCTGGCATATAATAGACCCCCAGTGTTAGCTAATTAATTATTTTGGGAGAATTTTAGTAGGCGTTCTGTTCTTCCACAATGATCTGTCACATACTAAAAGATAATTTCTAAGTCACCATTCAGGCTCCTTCCCCAAAGTGTGTTCCACAGAACACTGGGGCCATGAGACGCTCCACTGGAAAGGAAGGGAGGGGTAGGGTTCTGCGATCAATGAGGTTTGGAAAACTGTTCTGGCTGCAGCCTTTGGCAACACATGCATATAGATTCCAGGCACTGAAGCAGAGCTGGAAGAGTAAGTGGCTTCACAATAATAGGTGCACGAGTCTAAAAACATACCCGGGGGGCGGGGGGAGCTGAGCAGGGCGCCCAGTGGAAACCAATAGCTATTGGGCCCATCGCCTGAGCCTGTCACCTGGGCCACCTGCATCCCTCCACTCGAGTCTTGCAGCCATTCCCAGAGATACCCATTGTTCCCACGGGGCTGCCTTTCCCTGGTTTGGTGACACCAAGAGTGCTTTCTATGCCTGCTGAGAAGGGGCTGAGGGTCCGATGACACGAGGGCCAAGCCTTGACAGCTTTGCAACCGCTTGAGGAGGGACCAAGCCACAAGTCAAATCCCAAAGCCACAACCCCTTCCAACACTGAGATGCTGCAGGTGAGTCCTTACTTTAAGCCCCATTCAACCCACCCAATAAAACCTAAAGCTAAGTGGGCACATGGCTCCTTGGGATGGGGTTCACTTTGCCGGAGAGACAGCAGACAGGTGACCTACAAGGTCCATGTTCGATGCTGGGAGAGATGGTGGAGAGGCCCGAGGAGCAGACCACTGGGGCTCCTCATTGCGGGTAACATGGGGCTGGATTGGGCACTGTCACCTCCATGGTAATATTCACTCCCACAGGCAACGGGAGAGTGAGTGTGTGTTTGTGTGTGTGTGTGTGTGTGTGTGCACGCGCATGCGTGTGTACTGGGGAGGGGGTCAGCAGGGGTGGGCAGTTTGCAGAACAAGGGAGTGCATTTTCTGAATTCTAAGTCAGAGCAGGTGGTCTGATAACCAGATCTGAGGTCGGGCCACTTCTGGCTGCAAGAGGCTTTCTAGAGCCCTTTGCTACTCAGAGTGTGTGGTCCAGGACTAACAGCAGCACCTGGGAGCTCGGTAGAAATGCAGAATCTTGTGCCCCAGGACCCCAGCCCAATGAACCAGACTTTCTGGGGCTGGGTCCCGGCCTTCTGGCTTTTAACAAGTCCCCAGTTTGTTCTGTGCGTGATAAGGTTTGAGGGTCACAGGTCTAGGATACAGAGGGGAAAACAGAAATGTGGACACTAGTCAGGGACATTTGAACAATTGGGCCATTTGCATTCAGGCATGAATTGGCAAGTCTGAGATCCGGTTTGCCTGGCTAATTACAGCAATGACAAACTTGCAGGTTCTCCTAGGGTTTTCTGACTCTTAGGAAATTTCTTGGGGAGCTGTGGTTCCTCTTTAAATGCAGGAGCAGCAGGGGGAGGGGGGAGGGGCTACGCCCTTATAGTCCTATGATTTCACGTTGCATGTGCTCTCTTGAGCTGTAAATAAATAAAGAGATAATGGTTAAGCCGACTTGTCGATTTGTCATCTCTCTCCACTCCACCAGGAGGTGGTCTGTCTGTGCTGGCAGTGAGCTCCACCGGGGGATTTGGAGGGGACCCTAAGCCTGGTATTTCCCCTGCCACTTCTTAACAGGTTCGATTGAGCATTTGCTCTGAGCTAAGCAGCAAGGGTCCCTACTCTCACCTGACTTCACCATGGTCCCTTAGCTAGACCTCTTGGGTGGCAGTCTCATATTTTTATCTCCCTCCCCATTTTAGGTTAGGGCAGCTAAGGTCCCAAAGAGCTTCTGAGGCTGGTCACAGCAGGCTGGTCTCTAGCAACTTCATCCCAGGACTGGGAGGCCGAGAGCAGAGAAAAGCAGACGCTAACTTCAGCAGATGAGGAAGAACAAAGCACCACTGCCTGAAGCCGGGTCTGGGCAGGCTCAGATGCCATCTTGAAAAAGGGCATGAACTGGCGAAGGGGTGGCCTGGCTTGGGACCAGGGAAGACATCTCTT